AGAGTTTCTTTTAATACTGGTAGCCAGATTTTGTTCATTTTCATGGTTTCCTCCTTTCTGTTGAAATTGTTCACATGTTTGTGAATTTCAGTGGCTTCTCTGTATAGCCTGACGTGGTGGTTGTTAGAGTGGGCCATCATTTCTGTGTTCTCAGATAACATTCTGTGTTCAAGTTGGTTCATCAGGTGCTCTGCTATGGCTGACTTCTCTGATTGAGGTAGTCTGCAATGCTGATCTACAGAGACACTCGCTGGAACACCCCAGCAAGCGAGAGTCCAAAAGTGGCAGGCTCAAACCCAGAACCTCAATCAATTGCTGATACCAAATAAGAGACTCCCCCCTGGACACACAGAAAACTGGATGACTTGAAAGGCGCTGAACAGAGATGCAGAGCCAATCTTAAGAAATGGGGCTACAAAGTGGAATCCACGACTCTGAGGAATCACAACCTCTGAGGATGTCTGCCATAGATGTGGGCAAAACTTCAGGAGAGAATGCTTCTGAAACATGGCCGTACAGCCTGGAAAACTCACAGCCACCCAGTGATTCCAGCCATGAAAGCCTTCAACAACGCAAAGCACATATAGTTGAAAACTTTAATGTTTAGGTTAAAATAGTATTAATCTGCCAACATAATACCAAGTGCAAGTAAAACTTTGGTCACAACCCAACATGAGCAATAGAGCAGTTGTTGAATGGAGCCGATTGAGTGTAATGTTGATTAGTTTGGTGCTGCTGGATTGTGCCCTATTTCATCCTTTTCCAGCAGAGCTGGGCTAGTGGACTGATTGGTGCAGATCAAAGCCAATCTAGGAAATGTAGACAGAGTATTTTGGTACCAAATGGTCCATCCCTCTGCAAAATATTCCCGGCGCCTTTTGCTTATTATTGTGCAAGAAGTGCCATTTCGTTCACTGGTTTATTTCTTAAGATGTTCTCTAATTCATGCCATAATTATCCCCTCTCCATCCATATGAAATATCCTTTTCTTCATAGGGATGGTTCTGTTGCACAGAGGGGCCAAACCAGAATGTGGCTATAGTAATTCTATGACTTCATAACCTCCGGCCTGTATGACTATGCTTTTCGTCTGAGGCTGCTCCTGGAAATGGTTTGGAAACAGCAACTGGCTCAGAGTGTGTGGTTTTCCTCCCAATCTTGATTCAGATTTCTTCAACTGTCACAGTTTTCTCTTAAAACAGACATCACTCAACTCAATTTCAATGTTTGCTCCATTTTCAGGATTAACCTGTGACCAATTTTTACTTTAAATTCCACAATGGGTCATAGTTTATTGATTAATATGTTTTTTATTTTCGCTTTACATAGTAAGTTTTCCGGGCTGTATGGCCGTGTTTCAGAAGCATTCTCTCCTGACGTTTTACCCACATCTATGGCTGACATCTTCACAATCTCTGAGGATGCCTGCCATAAATGTGGGCAAAACGTCAGGAGAGAATGCTTCTGGAACATGGCCATACAGCCTGGAAAACACACAGCAACCCAGTGATTCCAGCCATGAAAGCCTTTGACAACACATTGTACATATACTATTCTTGCTGCTGTTATCATGTAGTGTAATGGGCCATAGTTTAAAAGGATTGGGTGATTTTAACAATTAAAATTAATGGCATGTGGTTCCCTGGAAAGAAACAACCATATTTAACCCACAGGTTACAAGCTGATCTTCTAAAGGTCCTTTCCATGGTGGTCTTCATGTGGATCTCAGATCCCACTGTAACCACCTTCATGAATGGACAGCATGATAGGGAAGAATTGTATTAATGCCTTTTGGCAAAGTGTGCTGGGCATGTTATATAGGAAGAAGTGGGCAGTGCTTTGGTATTGATTCAGTTCTGTGTACGTACTACCACCACATGCATGTTTTATTTTTCATTCTGTACTTCTGATGAAAGACAAATACTGTACTATGAAAAAATTATTTCTGTTTTCCTGATTTCTCAGAATGACAGTARTGTATGTTGAAGATGGAATTTTTATTTATTTATTTACTTTACTTTACTTTACTTGTATACCGCTCTTCTCAGCCAATTAGGCGACTCAGAGCGGTTAACAATAAGAAGCGGCAAAAATTCAATGCAACACATACAGCCATTTAAAAACAATTGACACATTAYCACACTAYGCAATTACCATCAGTGACCATCTATAGCAGGGGTAGGGGACCTTTGGCCCTCCAGCTGTGGTGGACTTCAACTCCCACAATTCCTTGAGGCTCGGCACTGGGCCAAGGTAAGCCTTTGGGGCGAATGCCGAGCCTCAAGGAATTGTGGGAGTTGAAGTCCACCACAGCTGGAGGGCCAAAGGTTCCCTACCCCTGATCTATAGCATCAATAACAATTCAATAGCYTCTCATAACTAAAATCATAATCCAAGTTCGTCATRRGTTGTTCCGATTCCTATAATTCATTGTGATTCARTGCACTGCCTATTCAAARGCCTGTTCGAATAACCAYGTTTTAAGTTTCTTCCMAAATGCCATCAATGAGGGGGCTGATCTGATGTCTATGGGTAGGGCGTTCCACAGCCGAGGGGCCACTACCGAGAAGGCCCTGTCCCTCGTCCCCGCCAACCGTGCCTGAGTTGCAGGCGGGATCGAGAGCAGGGCCTCCTCAGAAGATCTTAGGGTCCTGGTGGGTTCATAGGCGGAGATGCGTTCGGATAGGTATCTTGGGCCAGAACCGTTTAGGGCTTTATAGGCCAACGCCAGCACTTTTAATTGTGCCCGGTAGCAAATTTGCAGCCAGTGGACCTGGCGCAACAGAGGAGTTGTATGCTCCCTGAACGCCGCTCCTGTTAGTATCAGGATAGAATTTTTGGGACACATTTATAGTGTTTCTTTTTTTATTCTTCCCTGGCCGTGTCCCTGATTTCAGTCCAGATTTTATCATGTCAGAATGCAAATCATGTTCTATTTTTCAACCAAGCGGGATATGGAATTACTACCAACTCAGGGTGTGAGTAATTAAGAGCACACATCTATGCATGCCAGATCTGGTGTGAGTCAGGCCGATACTCTCAGCTTCCCTGCCTTATAGAACTTCCCATTCCCCGTGGTTTCAAACTAAGGACCAGGGTGTGGGGACTTGTGATATCATTGTGTCCTCATAGGGGTGGTTCCTTATTGATGTCATAGATGTGCCGCAGTTGGGTTGGCAGGCAGGCTGAAACAAACCCCAGTTCAGCTGATTTGTGGAAACGGAGATGAAAACCATCTGGCAAAATATGTCATAATTTGGGTACAATCTGCCAGACTGTATATTTATTTATTTATTTATTTATTTATTTACAGTATTTATATTTCTCCCTTCTCACCCCGCAAGGGACTCAGGGCGGGGTGAGAATGCACATATACATGACAAACATTCAATGCCGTAGACATACAACATATATAGACATACACAGAGACAATTTAATATTCCAGCTTTCTGGCTTCATGAGGGTATGCCCGATTCCAGCCACAGGGGGAGCTGTCAGTTCACCGTCCACTTGTGACACCGAGTCCTTCCTCATTCTTATGCACACTGCTGGAAGGTTTTATGATGTTGTAAATTACTTAAATGAGCCTCCCCGCATAAAGCAGTATCTAAATTTCCTACTTGACAGATGCAACTGTCTTTTGGGCTACATATGGTCAACAGAAAGCTAGACTATTAATGGTCAGGAGCTCACACCGAGCTCCTCCGGGCTGGCTTTGAACTCATGACTTCTTGGTCAGTAGTAATTTAATGCAGCTGGCTACTAACTAGCTGCGCCACAGCCCAGTGCAGAATCCAGACCGGGGGACGATGACTGACTTGATAACAGTACGTGTGGAAAAGATCTTTGAGTCCTCATGGACAGGAAGATGAATGTGAGCCAACAATGTCATGCGACAGCTTAATAAATCAGTGGGATTTTGGCCTGCATAAATAGGAGCCTTGTGTCTAGAACCATGGATGTAATGCTACCCCACTTTTCTATTCTGCCTTGGTCAGACCACATCCGGAATCACACTGTGGCCAATTCTGGGCACCACAATTGATGGGAGATGTTGACTCTAAGCTGGAAGGTGTCTAGAGGAAAGTGACTCAAATGATCAAGGGCTGGGAGAACAAGCCCTACGAGGAGTGGCTGAAAGAGCTGGACATGTTTAGCCTGCAGAAGAGTAGGCTGAGAAGAGACATGATGAGGGACATGGATAAATCTGTGAGGGGAAGTCATAAGGAGGAGGGAGTAGGCAACCTTTCTGCTGCCGTGGAGACTAGGACGCAGAACAATGGCTTCAAACTATAGGAAAGGAAATTCCACCTGAACACAAGGAAGATTTTCCTAACTGTGAGAGCTGTTCAGCAGTGGAACTCTCTGCCCTGGAGTGTGGTGGAGGCTTCTCTTTGGAGGCTTTTAAACAGAGGCTGGATGTCCATCTGTCGGGGTGCTTTGAATGCAATTTTCCTGCTTCTTGGCAGAATGGGGTTGGACTGGATGACCTACGAGATCTCTTCCAACTCTGGGATTCTATAAGAGATTAAGGTTTTGAATTATGTTTAAATGGCAGCCTTCTGGGCTATAACTTGCCATTTGTGTAGGAAAGTAACCATTGTACTGTTTAGACCACCATGTATGAGAAAGGGTAAAAATGGCCCCAAAGAAATTGTCCATCCAGGACCAAAAAGGTCCACTTGTGATTAATAAGTCCTATATAGCAAAATATAATTGACTTGTATAAACATATTTAGGCTCTTCTGAATCTGTGCCTTTGTAGGTCACCAATATGCCACCCATTTTACTTTGCCCTGCAGGCTTGTAATGAGAAGTGGAGCACTTTATGGTAGTTATTCGGGACCATGGTGATAAAAATTCTGTTTCCTATTATTTCTGAAAGAGCATTACTCCAACAACACTAAACCCTTTCAGCCTCGGCCCTGCATTAAAGAAAAGCCCTTGATTGTAGTGCTTGAGCATTTTAGTAAAAAGATTTGACGCCCTCATTTGTTTAGGCATCCGTATGTTGGATGGCGATGTGACAGATATCGTGGAAGCAAAGGCGATTGGCACCAAACCAGATTACATCCACATCTATAGTGCGAGCTGGGGCCCGGATGACGACGGCCGGACAGTGGATGGCCCTGGACGTTTGGCCAAGGAGGCCTTTGAGAAAGGCATTAAAGAGGTGCGCAAAACCGTGATGCCATGCACAGCATTTCCTCCTTTGAGGCAAAAGAGTTTTCCCTCCTTTTAAGATCAGAAGCCTAAGATTCGCTATTCCCAGTAATGTATTTTTTTAGTGTACAGTTGGAAAACAAACTGTTTAGTTTGAAAACTAAATGAAGCTGGAAAAATGAGCAGAGAGTCGTTCTTAAGCACTTAAATGATAGTGATTCTCAGGCAATCTTGATGAAAACAAAAGAAAAACGGTTTTGCTAAAGTACTGATTTTGCCTAAAGAAATTGCAAGAGTAATTCTGGCTGTCATAAGCAATTTGTTGCTGCTGCCGCTGTTGTTATTGTGTTCCTTCAAGATGTTTTCAACTTAAGATAGCTCAGAGGTGAACATATCATGAATATCTGTTTTTAAAAACACATACTGAATGTGGAATAGGGGAGAAAGTGAGCATCAAAAAGATTTGGTTTGTGTAATATTTTGGATTTCTAGTGAAGGGAGACTCATCTTATATTGGAATCCAGACAGATTATATGATACTCAACCTGCTTCCTTTGTCAACGTAGGGCCGTAAAGGACGCGGTTCCATTTATGTCTGGGCCTCTGGGAATGGTGGCAGAGAAGGGGACCACTGCTCTTGCGATGGGTACACCAACAGCATCTACACCATCTCCATTAGCAGTACCACCGAGAATGGGAACAAGCCCTGGTACCTGGAGGAATGCGCCTCTACCATTGCCACCACCTACAGCAGCGGTGCTTTCTATGAGCGACAGATTGTAAGTCAAGCCAGAACTTGGTGTATGTTTCCTAGGTCTCTGAGAAATTGTGTTGGAGAGAGACAGCTAGGATAGGCTGGAGCTGAAGCAAACAATGCAGGAGAAAGTAAAAACAGAGAGGAAAGAATGTCCTGATCTTTGGACCTGACTGGGAGAGAATGGGCAGGTACTTAGTATTTCTGCTAAGTATATCCAGTCCAATTCAAAGGATAGATATTTTCAGTCAATAACAGGGACTGGTTCTGTGTTGATCTTTGAGTCTTTCCACACAGCCCTATATCCCAGAATATCAAGGTAGAAAATCCCACATTATCTCAGTGTGGACTCAGATAAACCAGTCTAAAGCAGATATTGTGGAGTTTTCTGCCTTGATATTCTGGGACATAGGACTGTTTGGAAGGGCCCTTTGTTCCCTTTAAATGCCAGAAGATAAAGGGCTCCAGCATCAGCTTATGTTTTCCATCCCCACCAAGGCCCCGTCTACAAACAATATAAAATCCACATTGAACTGGATTATATGGCATTGTGGACTCAGATAATCCAGTTCAAAGCAGATATTGTGGGTTATTTGCCTTGATATTCTGCATTATATGACTGTGTGGAAGGGCCCCAAGGCCTCTGTTCTAACAAGCTAAGAGTAATATTTTTACCACTAATAATAATAATAATAATAATAATAATAATAATAATAATAATTATTATTATTATTATTATTATTATTATTATTATTATTATTATTATTATTAAACACAAAAGGCACTGACAAAATTACCATCTGCCAGCTGCAGAAGGCCACCTTACTGGGATCTGCATGCATTATTCGCCGATACATCACAAAGTCCTAGACATGTGTGATCCAATACAACAGCCAGCAGAGTGATCTTGTCTGCTGTGGACTCGTCTTGTTGTGTTTCAGATAACAACAACAACAATAACAACAACAACAACAATAATAATAATGCTTTATTTGTAGCCCCATTATTTATTTATTTACTTCACTTGTATACTGCTTTTCTCTCCCCAGCGGGGGACTCAAAGCGGTTTCCAACATGACTGTGGCAAAATTTAATGCCTTTCATACAGAAACCTAACATAATGATAATAACATACAATTATCGATTAAATCATAAAACACGAAATCATTTAACATTAAAACATGGTATTAAAAACATATCAATATAAACATTAAAATCACACAATCCAACAAACATAGTATAGGCCGTTCCAAATATAATATCTATTGCACATTATAATTCCTTGCACTACTTACTTCCCAAAGGCTTGGCCTCATAGCCAAGTTATTATTATTATTATTAGAAACACCACAAGATGAGTCCACAGCAGACACTCTGCTGGCTGTTGAATTGGATCACACGTCGGACACTTCCCAAGTGTCTAGTACTGTGTGATGTATCAGCGAATAATGCGTGCAGATCCCAGTAAGGTGGCTTTTTGCAGCTGGCAGGTGGTAATCTTGTCAGCGTCGATTGTGTTTAAGTGCAGGCCAAGGTCTGTAGTAATAATAATAATAAAAATAATAATAATAATAATAAAATATTGTACCTTTTTATAAAAAAAAGTCAACAGTGAGATACAGGTGAAAGTACTTTTGAAAGTCAACATTTTTTAACTGATTAGTGGTACTTGTTTTGCTTCTGTAGTTATAGAGAGAACCTAAACAGACGGGCAGACCTTACCCAACAAAAGCTGGAAAGGTTGATGGGATCTTATTGCTTTTCATTCTGCTTGCATGACGAAAATTGGCTTGGCATAATTTTTTTAGAAAGCCCCGACTGTTGGCAGCAGAAGAGAATTGGCTATGCAAATTAAGACCGCAAATGCAAATTTTGCTTTACTTTGTATAATTATATTTCAGAAGGAAATTATGGACTCCTTCAGGGATGAATGCCTCGATTTGAATCTGGCTTTCTCTATCTCCACCTCCCACTTAATAGTCATGCCAATTCTTTCTTTAGGTCACTACAGACCTGAGGAAGCGTTGCACAGAGGGCCACACCGGGACTTCCGTGTCGGCCCCCATGGTGGCCGGAATCATCGCGCTGGCTCTGGAGGCCAAGTAAGTCCACTCTTTATGGTTAAAATAAGCACCTGGATTCTGTGTTCAGTTGTAAGGACCTGAATAGATGACAAATAGGACTCACAAAGGCTTCTTCCACAAAATCCAAATTATCTGCTTTGAACTGGATTATGTGGCAGTGTAGACTTTTATAATCCAGTTCAAAGCAGATAATGTGGATCATTTGCTTTGATAATCTGGATTATATGGCAATATTTGGGGAATAATAATAATAATAATAATAATAATAATAATTCTAACCCGCACCTCTCTCCCCAGAGGGACTCAAGGCAGCTCAGGGAAGACATTTCTCATTCCATTTTCATCTGTTGTGCAACTCATCTATCCTGACATATAACCCAGTTTAAACTGCATAACAATGGTCAGTGTAGACTCATATAAGTAGAGCAAACAACATTGAACTGGATTATCGAGGCCCCTTCTACACTAACATATAAAATCCAGATTATTTGCTTTGAACTGGATTATGTGGCAGTGTAGACTTTTATAATCCAGTTCAAAGCAGATAATGTGGATTATCTGCTTTGATAATCTGGATTATATGGCAATATTTGGGGAATAATAATAATAATAATAATAATAATAATAATATTTCTAACCCGCACCTCTCTCCCCAGAGGGACTGAAGGCAGCTCAGGGAAGACATTTCTCACTCCGTTTTCATCTGTAGTACAACTCATCTATCCTGACATATAATCCAGTTTAAACTGCATTGTAATAGTCAGTATAGACTGATATAATGCAGAGCAAACAACATTTAGCTGGATTATCAAGGCCCCTTCTACACTAGCATATAAAATCCAGATTATCTGCTTTGAACTGGATTAAGTGGCAGCGTAGACTTAGATAATCCAGTTCAAAAATGATAATCTGGATTATATGGCAGTGTTGAAGGACCTCAATTAGAGCATAGATTGCTTTCACACTTTGGACTCAAGTTTGCAGGAACTGAAATGAGCAAAGACAAAAGGAAGGTAGAGAGATAATAGGGGTTCATCTACATAATTAACGCAGTTTGACATCACCTTAACTGCCATGGCTCAAGTTGTAGTATGTCAAAGCACCAGACTACTTTGCAAAAAAGGTTTAAAACCTTGTAAGATTCCAACTTCTAGGATTCTATAGTTTTAAACCAAGGCATCTAATGCGGTGTCAAACTGCATTCATTCAACTGTGTAGATTTATTTTGACATTTTAAAAGCAGGAAGACTGCCAAGTCAGGACAGTTGGAGAGTTTGGGACTTTTGCATCGGCTATAGATTTGGGTAAAGGGACACATCAGAGCATTTTTATTTGAGAATTATCGATTTGAAGTCCATGTTTGCCTCCAAATGAGATGCCTGTCTTGGAGTGTGTTTCACACTCTCCTGTGACACAGAGAGAAATGAGAAAATAATGAACAAGCAACACGCTCTATGACATATTATTGATCCAATAGGGTCATCTGTGTGCTTTCAATATCTTCTCTGCATGCTCTTAATACCATTCTTCATATCCTGAAGATCACTGTTTGCCCATTATTCTTCCACACCCAGTCCTTGTAAAGAATTACTGTTCTGTTTATCTTATTTAGTATTCACTCCGTGTGCCATGGCTAATACAGTAAGGTGTTTTGTCTTGTACTTGTCTCTAATAACAGAGTTAGTCAAGTGGCCACAACTCATTCTGAGTGGTTTTTTAAAATGTCTGATCACAAAATTAATCTGGTGTGCTCATTATGGGATAGGAGTAGCATTTACGGCTTGAATATGTCATTATGAAAAGTGATGCAGGAGGAACATTACTTATAACTCTTAAGTACGCTGTACCTGTGAGTAAGCCTCTATAGCTATTTGTATTGATGTCAAGAAAACTTTACTTGTCACCACTATGCATTTGTTGTTGTTGTTGTTGTTGTTGTTTATTCATCTAGTCGCTTCTGACTCTTCGTGACCGCTATGCATTTGTTTAGAATCGCTATCTGTTTCTGTTTGTTTCATTCGTAAGCCCTCCCGTTTTCATTTTCGCGCCGCTCCCAAAAACGGGGGCCTTTCCGAATGGGGGGTTTTATTCCTCATCCAAAAAAATGAAATTTTTCAGTCCATTGTCCACAATGGGCAGGCTTCCCCAGGCTCCCCTTCCTCTCAGCTATAGGGCTAGAGAGGTGGAAATCGCCACATATGGAGGATATATGTACCACTTTTAGCCTACCAAGTTTTATAATGTTTGGGTCATCCCCTGATTTTTAGGTATTTTCTTTCTTTCTATACGTTCGTTTGTTCATTCATTCATTCATTCATTTATTTGGTGTTTACCATTTTTATACCCTGCCTTTCTCAACCTTGTAGGGAACACAAGGCAGCTTGCATAAATAGCAGCGTTTTTCAACCTGGGGGTCGAGACCCCGGGGGGGGGGGTCGCGAGGAGGTGTCAAAGGGGTCGCCAAAGACCATCAGAAAGCACAGTATTTTCTGTTGGCCATGGGAGTTCTGTTTGGGAAGTTTGGATCAATTCTATTGTTGGTGGGGATCAGAATGCTCTTTGATTGTAGGTGAACTATAAATCCCAGTAACTACAACTCCCAAAAGTTAAGGTCTATTTCCCCCAAACTCCATCTGTGTTCATATTTGGGCATATGAAATATTCGTGCCAAGTTTGGTCCAGATCCATCATTGTTTGAGTCCACAGTGCTCTCTGGATGTAGGTGAACTACAACTCCCAAACTCAAGGTCAATGCCCACCAAACCCTTCTAGTGTTCTCTGTTGGTCATGGGAGTCCTATGTGCCACATCATTGTGGAGTTCAGAATGCTCTATGATTGTAGGTTAACTATAAATCCCAGCAACTACAATTCCCATATGATAAAATCAGTTTATTTGAGTGATGGTCACCCCTTGGGTTAGTATGTATATTGTGGCAAAATTTAGTAGCAAGTTGTCCAGCGGTTTTTGAGTTATGTTCATCCTACAGATGTATATTACATTTTTATTTATATAGATGTATTTATTTATTTATTATTTACCATATTTATACCCTGCTTTTCTCAACTTTGTAGGGAACTCAAGGCAACTTACATATAGAGGCAGCAATTAGATACCAAAAACACACATAAAAAGAACATATAGAGACCCCCCAGTGCTGCAGTGGGTTTAACCGCTGCAAGCAAAGAAACTGTACGCACTCCTGCTTGCTTTTGTTTCGAGCTTATTTTCATTCTTGGGGAGGAGTTTCTGTTTCATGCTCCAGTACGAAATGAAAAGAACGAAAGAATGGATGAAACGGGTACTGCACACACCTTTACTATGAATAGTAAAGGTGTCAATAGTCAAGACAGCAATCTGGGAAACCAGCTTGAAATCATCTGGATAAGAATCAAGGGAACTGGGACTCAAAAAGATGTCGTTGTAGGCGTCTACTACAGACCCCCAAGCCAGGAGGAAGAACTTGATGAAGTCTTCTGCCAACAGTTGACCAAACAGGCACAGAGAAGAGTAGTAGTCATGGGCGATTTCAACTATCCCGATATTTGCTGGAAAACAAACTCGGCCAAGAGTACAAGGTCCAACAAATTCCTCGCTTGCCTTGCAGACAATTTCATGGTCCAGAAGGTAGAAGAGGCAACAAGGGGATTGGCTACTCTTGATCTCATCCTAACAAATGCGGAGGACCTGATCGATGCGGTCGAAGTGGTAGGATCCTTAGGGGCAAGTGACCATGTGCTCCTGCAATTTGAGGTACAAAGGAAGGCTGAAACTAAGACAAGTCAAACCCGCATTCTGGACTTTAGGAGAGCTGATTTCCAAAAAATGAAGGAAACACTGAGCAGCATTCCGTGGACACAGATACTAAAAGACAAGGGAGTTACGGATGGATGGGAATTTCTCAAGAGTGAAATACTCAAGCGCAATTGCAAACCGTGCCAACAAAGAGAAAAAATAGGACAAGTGCAAAGAAGCCAGAATGGATGCCCAAAGAACTTCTAACTGTGCTAAGACACAAAAGAGACATGCACAAGAAGTGGAAAAAGGGAGAAATCACCAAAGAAGAATTCAAACAAATAGCCAACACCTGTAGGGAAAAGTTCCAGCAAGGCTAAAGCACAAAATGAGCTCAGGCTTGCTAGGGACATTAAAAACAATAAAAAGGGCTTATTTTTATGTCAGTAGAAAAAGGAAAGACAAGGAGGCGATAGGACCTCTTCGAGGAGAAGATGGGGCAATGCTGACAGGGGATAGGGAAAAGGCAGAACTACTTGATGCCTTCTTTGCCTCGGTCTTCTCACAAAAAGAGAGTCTTCAACCTCAGCAAGATGGAGTGGATGAGGGATTGGAGGACATCCAACCCCAAATTGGGAAAGAAGTCGTCCAGGAATACCTGGCCCCTCTTAATGAGTTCAAGTCCCCAGGGCCAGATCAACTACACCCCAGAGTATTGAAGGAACTAGCGGAAGTCATTTCGGAACCATTGGCAACCATCTTTGAGAGTTCTTGGAGAACGGGAGAAGTTCCAGCAGATTGGAGGAGGGCCAATGTGGTCCCAATCTTCAAGAAGGGAAAAAAGGATGACCCAAACAACTACCGTCCGGTCAGCCTCACTTCGATACCGGGCAAGATTCTGGAAAAGATTGTTAAGGAAGCGGTCTGCAAACACTTAGAAACAAATGCAGTCATCGCTAATAGTCAACATGGATTTATCAAAAACAAGTCATGCCAGACTAATCTGATCTCTTTTTTCGATAGAGTTACAAGCTGGGTAGATGCGGGGAATGCCGTGGATGTAGCGTACCTGGATTTCAGGAAGGCCTTCGACAAGGTCCCCCATGACCTTCTGGCAAGGAAACTAGTCCAATGTGGGCTAGGCAAAACTACGGTGAGGTGGATCTGTAATTGGTTAAGTGGACGAACACAGAGAGTACTAATGCTTCCTCTTCATCTTGGAAAGAAGTGACAAGTGGAGTGCCGCAGGGTTCCGTCCTGGGCCCGGTCCTGTTCAACATCTTT